CCATGGCAGTCAAAAATACTCTCAGGCTCCCTCTGTCTTTCCCTCCCTGTGTTGGTGGCGCCAAGACAAGCAAAGGTTCGGTGCCCCTCTCAAAGAAGGGACCAATCAGACTGAAATATCCCAACTTCCCCGGGCTGGTGGGGACTCGAACCCACGATCTGCGAAAGGAGTCACCAGCACTCAATCTGGCTGGAAGCCTTTATGAGCCACATGGTGTTTATCTTCAACTCGCAGAGTTTCAGAATATAGCCCTGTTTACTTTTCACGGGGGCTTTTTTTTTTTTTAAGGAAGGGGTTACACCTAGGTGATGTTTGCCAAGGCAAGCAAGCAAAACATAGCCTGAGTCTCAGAAAGCACAGGCAAAACATACTCTTGACTTGATCATCGTGACTGATACTATCAATGCTACTGATACTATTGATACTTGATTACAGAACATCAAAACATATGCTTGGATTACAAACCTTGGTTAAGGGTAGTCTACTTTATTATAAGCTCCTGACTAATACAGCAACTCAGTTATAGCTGGCGATCAGCCTGAAGGTTGTCAGTGGCCTTCAGCAAAGTTTATGGTGACCGGCAAAGCTGCCAGCTTGGTAAACTTGGGTGAGGGAGAGATGTTCTTTTGCAAGGATGGAAAAGGCTTAAGCTGACTACTGGCCATGTGACCTAGAGCTTCTCTCTACAGAGGAGTGCTGCCTTTAATATTTGGCCCCATTTTTTTTTTTTTTGGTCGGTCGTGGGGCTTGAACTCTGGGCCTGGGCGTTGTCCCTCAGCTCTTCAGCTCAAGGCGAGCACTCTACCACTTGAGCTACAGCACCACTTCCGGTTTTCTGGTGGTTTATTGGAGATAGGAGTCTCAGTCTCTCCTGCCCGGGCCGGCTTTGAACCGCGATCCTCAGATCTCAGCCTCTTGAGTAGCTAGGATTACAGGCATGAGCCACCAGCGCCCGGCTATTTGGCCCCATTTTTAATAATAATTTTGTTCTGTTTCTGATTTCACATGTTATAAGATGTTTGCCTGTCTGGGTCCCCAAGGAGCTCAGGTGCCTCTAACCTGATGCTGCCGTAAGCCAAATGAGGATCACCACAGACCCGTGTGGATTCCATAGCCACAAGCTCAAACCTGAGACACTCCCCTTCTATTCTCAAGGAATGATAACTAATGCCTGGGTTCTTGCGAGGGGCTTACCGAGTTCTAGATAAGTTTAGTCCACTTCTCCTTGGAGCTGCCTGGGGCAAGTCTGTCAAGAGGGCCGGAACTCCAGAGCAAAGGAAGTCCTAGAATACCACTGGGTAGTATGCTGTCTCATTCAGTCCTGAGTCCATTTGCGCTCCAATGCTGTTCTGCCGTTGGTTGATGGGGGGATGAGGAGAGGCCACCCCTAAGGGCCCAGAAGGGTTGGAATCTTGCTGCAACCTCTGAAAGATCAAATTTACTGAGATCTGGAATTTGCCTTAGTGTCTCCCTTTAGTAAAAAAATAAATAAATAAAAGCAAAAACATCTCTCAGTTTGCCAGCTAGCCATAGTTGTACAGCTTTGTGGTTTTATGCTTGCCAGGTGATCAGTTATGCAGTCTGGTGGTTTAATCACAAGTGTTGCTAAATTCCTGTGTTATCAAGACTAACTCTGCAAAACAAACTTCTCAAGGTCTTTTTTTTTTTTTTTGTCTGTGTGGGGCCTGAATTCAGGGTCAGAGCACTGTTTTTTTTGGGGGGGGGAGGGGGGGAGGGGAGGGGGAGGGATTGTTGATTGTGGGTCTTGAACTCTGGGCCTGGGCGCTATTCTTGAGCTCTTCAACTCAAGGCCAGTGCTCTACCATTTGAGCCACAGTGCCACTTCTGGTTTTCTGGTAGTTAATTGGAGATAAGAGTCTCACAGAGACTGCCCTTAGCTTTGAACTGTGATCCTCAGATCTCAGTCTCCTAAGTAGCTAGGATTAACAGGTGTGAGTCACCAGCGCCCAGCTTGGGCACTGTGCTTTCAATGAAGGATAGCTAGCACTCTACACTTTGAGCCACAGTGCAACTTCCTGTCTTCTGGTGATTAATTATTGGTAAAAGTCTCATGCCTTCCTGCAAGGGCTGTCTTTGAACTGTGATCCTCTGATCTCAGCCTCCTGAGTAACAAAATGCAGACTCAAATCTGTGTGGTTAGCTATTTTGCACCTCTCCCCTGAGGAAAAAGGTGCTTTTTTTTTTCAGTTCCTCTTTTCAAGGGGCCAAAAGTTCCCCTTTTGGTCTTCTGAAAAGTGAGTTCTCTGTACCTTCCACACCACCTACTTGTAACACCAGCCTCTCTCTGGGTATGTAAATCGAACCTCCCAATTTAAAATTTTTATTTATTTATTTTGTTGGAAACTCTTGCCTCCAATTAACCAGCAAAAAAATCCAAAGAGCTGGGGTGTGTGGCTAGGTGGCAGAGCACCAGCCTTGAGTGAGAAAGCTACACCAAAGAGAAGAAGAAAAAAAAAGTGGGGCTGGGAATGTGGCTTAGTGGCAGAGTGCCTTCTAACATGCATAAAGCCCTGGGTTTGATTCCTCAGTACCACATAAACAGAAAAAGCCAAGTGGCACTGTGGCTCAAGTGATGAGAGTACTAGCCTTGAGCAAAAGAAGCTCAGAGACAGTGCCCAGGCGCAAAAGAAGCTCAGAGACAGTGCCCAGGCCCCGAGTTCAAGCCCCAGCACTGGCAAAAAAAAAAAAAAAAAAAAAGATAGGAAGCCGAGTGCTGGTGGCTCACGCCTGTAATCTTAGCTACTCAGGAGTCTGAGATCTGAGGATCCCGGTTCAAAGCCAGCCCAGGCAGGAAACTCTGTTAGACTCTTATCTCCAATAAACCACCAGAAAACCTTAGTGGCGCTATGGCTCAAGTGGTAGAGCACTCGCCTTGAGCTGAAGAGCTGAGGGACAGTGCCTAGTCCCAGAGTTTAGGCCCCACGACCAGCAAAAAAATAAAAATAAAAATAAAAAAAGGATAGCAACCCTTCCACCTGTTCCCACTTTTAGAGGTGCAGAAGTTAGCCTAACAGACTCCCCCCCACACACACCATTGGCCAACAAAGGGCCCTTTAGGTTTAGGCAACTAGGAGGAACCAGTCTCCTCCCTCTCACCTTGAAGCAACATTCCATTAGGTCAGTTACAGCCACAAATGGAAACTGCAGACCCCCTTATCTTCTGTTTGGGCAGCTGCCTTTGAGAAGCCTTAGCTAAAGCACAGCCATTTCAGATTCAGACCCCACCTTGAAGGCCCTTGCCAAAAGCACCCATTGTAAAGCCTTTACCGAAAAACATGAGCTGTTCCGGTTTCAAGCCGCAGGTCGTTCTGACTGAAAGCCCACTGAGGGATAACTCCCTAGCAACAGCCAATCAGTAACCAACAGGAAAGTACCTATGAAGGGTTAAAAATTAAAAACCTCGCTTTACCATTACTATTACTAACTTGCTAACTGCTGATTCTGCTTCTGTAAATGTGCTTGCATTCGGACCACCCCCCCTTCCCTGAGAAATAAAACTGAGTAGAGTCTCAAGGATATCGGCCAGCCCAGATGTCCAGATGTCAGCTCACCCCAGGACAAAAACAGATAGTACATGTTTTTCAGTTTTAGTTTATGTTCCAGTTTAGTTCAACAATCCCTGGGACAGGCCTTGACAACGACCACCTGGCAAGACCACGACCACCTGGCAAGACCACAAGCTAAGCCAAATGTCAACCAATCATAGGCCTGTAACCATGTAAACCCCCCTTAAACCAACCATGGGCCAATTGTTCTACAAAGAGTGTTTTATGCTAATTTTGTGGATTTTGCTTTTAAAAATGTCTGTAACCTCTGCTCAGGGCTCTCTGACTGACAGGGCAGAGTCCGTTTGTGCAAACGTCGAATAAAATCCTCTTGCTTGCTGCATCTGCTGGTTTGGAGTCTTGGTTTCTGGGGTGCCCTCCCGTTGAGAAAGTATCCCAGTTGAAAGACCCCCAGTGTTTGGGGTGCCTTTCGATCTGGAGAGACCCTCTCCCAAGGAACAACGAGACCACTTGTGCGGATGCAATCAGCAAGAGGTTTATTCGGGCATGCCCAGGCTCCCAGGTGCACACGACCTCGAGATCCACAAGGTTCGGGTCGGTGGCTGGGAACCTGTTCGGACACACGGGTACCCGGGGCGACAAAGTCTATCGGGAGACTTGTGCGCCGGGGCACATGAGAGCACCCTCTTTTATGGGCAGCTGGAAGCAGGGTTACAGTGAAAGACCCCCCGTCCGTGGGGTGTCCTTCAATCTGAAGAGACCCTTCCCCAAGGAACAACAAGACCACTTGTGCGGATGCAAACAGCAAGAGGTTTATTCGGGCATGCCTAGGCTCCCAGGTGCACTCGTCCTTGAGATCCACAAGGTTCGGGTCGGGTGTCTGGGAACCGGTTACACGGGTACCCGGGGCGACAAAGTCTATCGGGAGACTTGCGCGCCTTGATGCATGGAAGCATCCTCTTTTATGGGCAGCAGAAGCGAGGTTACAGAAGCGAGATGCATGGTTACAGGGTATTGATTGGTTATTTTTGAATTACGCTTAAGGTAGGGATTGGTTAGGTTAAATCACCCGGACGGGGTAGGTGAGGCCGGGGGGGGGGGGGGGGGGGGGGGGGCTGACGTGTCAGTACTTGCCCTGACATGTCTTGAAAGACCCCCGACGGCGTGGGGTGTCCTTCAATCTGAAGAGACCCTTCCCCAAGGAACAACGAGACCACTTGTGCGGATGCAAACAGCAAGAGGTTTATTCGGGCAAGCCCTCGGCTCCCAGGTGCACTCAACCTCGAGATCCACAAGGTTCGGGTTGAGTGTCTGAGAACCGGTTACACGGGTACCCGGGGCGACAAAGTCTATCGGGAGACTTGCGCGCCGAGTGCTTGAAAGCACCCTCTTTTTATGGACAGCAGAAGCGAGGTTACAGAAGCGAGATGCGTGGTTACAGGGGGATGATTGGTTAATTTCAAATTACGCTCAGGGTGAGGATTGGTCAGGTTAGGCTGGCCAGATGGGGTAGGTGGGGTTGGGGGAAAGCTGACGTGTCGGTACTTGCCCTGACATGCCTGTGCTGGTCGCTATGCACCGAAACTGTTTGTTCCCTAGTTTTGACAAGTGATTTATCACATCCTGCCTCACCCTAGCATTAAGGCTAAGTTTTACAGGAAGGAATGTGGTGGTCGGCTATTTTACCGGAATGCCTGGTTTTAAGGCATGTACTAGGGTCATGCAGGCGGTGACTCAGAGGCTCGAGGTTTCGTTTCCTGGTTAGCGGCCTGCGCTTATCCTGCCCCACCACCCCCTTAGGTATGCAGGGTAAGGGGCAGCAATTTTCCTTGGGGTACCTAATGGGCAAGCACAGGCTGGGGTCTTTCATTCCCCCATTTTCTTTTGTCTGAATGAAATCCTTCATTCACCCGACGTTTCCTCCGTTAATTTAAGCTGATGATATTGTTGGGTTAGCACTAGGGCCTGTACGACCGATAGTCGGTCTTTTACAAATTGTATTAGGCGGTTTATGATGCAGGGGCCCACAGTAAGGATTAACATGAGGAGTATTAATGGTCCCATTAATGAGGATATTAGGGTAGTAAACCACGGAGACTTGTTCCACAACCCTTCATACCAAGTTTGTTGAGACTCAAATTCTCGCTGTCTATTGCTTAGTCTTTCTTTAAGTTTATCTAGGGACTTGATTATTACTCCTGTCTTATTGACATAGAAACAACATTCTTCCCGTAAGGCTACACATAAGCCCCCTTCCTTTAAAAACAGTAAGTCCAGTCCCCTTCGATTTTGAAGGACTACTTCGGCTAAGGAGTTTACAGAGTCCGTTAGTGTACGGACGGATTTTTCCAGGGTCTTTAAGTCGTTATTTATGGCTTGTTGGAGAAGCGAATAGTGATCCACTCTCGTCAGAGCGGTGGCTCCTGTGGCAATCCTAGCCGATATTCCTCCTATACCTAGAAGGACAGCCAATGTAATAGACACGAGTTCCCGTTTGTCTCTATGAGTTGGTCGGTCAAAGTATTGGAGGACAAAGCTGTCAGGATGGTAAGTAATGCGAGGCCAGATCTGTACTAATACACAATAATCCTTACTCTGATTAAAAATAGCTGCTGATACACAGGGGGTTAGGCCCGTATTGCAAGCCCAATAGAGTCCAGTCTGGGGGACCAAATAATGGGATCCAGCGGGTACGGTTTGAATGTTATTGCACAGGACTTGGTGGGAGGTGGGAACATTACCCAAACACGTTCCGCTTTCGGACACTTCCGGAAGAGTCAGCTGGTGAGTAGGCAGGGAGCTGCAGATGGAAGGGGGATTGGAGTGAATGGAAAAATTAGCTTTTACAGCAATGCCCTCATAGTAGGGAGGGTTGGAGGCCAGGCAAAGCCAACAGCTCTCGGTGCGACTGGGATCAGAATAGTTTAAAACAGTATATGCTCCCTTTACAAGGTCAATAAGCCTTTCCTCTGTCCCTGATAAGGCCGAGACCGTCGTTGAGGCGGGTTGGTAGGGGGAATTGGTCGGAAAAGGAGGAGACACTGGGCCACCGCGCAAAGGGGTTTGTGGAGGATTTTTAGCAGCAGGGACCCTAGGTTTTGTCAAAACTGGGTTGGGCCCAATTGGCAAGATAGGGGTTATCGGTTGTCTGCGTAGTCTGATTTGGAATGTTGCTCCATAAGGTCCAGATCCAAATGTATGCCATCTAATTCCCCACTGTCTGCCTGCCATCCATAGGGCAGGAAGTAAGGCCCTTCCTCTGTCTGTGAAAGATATTTTTAAAGGCAGACACGTACTTCTGAAGTAGCATGAAGTGCCCCAGGGCCGTCCCTTTTTTACATTAATCAGGTCCCATGTGGAACTTGGGTTCCAATATGCGTCTCCCGTGGTCTCACAACCCCAAGAGGCACAAAAGTAGTCACTCTCCTGTCCACACTGGTTAGATGCTGCTTGGGTTCTACCTTCTCGAGGGCAAACATAAAAATCAACCTTGGCTAAACTCGTCCTTTTGTCGGGGGAACAGCATCCTCCATCAAAGCCCCCCATACTGGGGATGCCCGAGCAGTCTTTTACCGGGAGTTTATCAAAGGTGAAACCGGGCAGGTCCCAGGGGCGGGGCAATCCGGCTACTAGTTGGCAAACGTCTGGGGTCAGATCTGGCCACCAAGCTCCCCACAGATGGCGGTCAGAGCTGATCTGCCAAACTACATCCGCTGTGCCGGACAGAATCTGCCAGGTCTGTCGCACGGGCTGGTGGGGATTGGGAAAAGCAAAACTCAATAGGGATAGGAATAGCAAGTAAGCAAAGGAAATCATATTCGCGTAAGTCTTATCTTTAAAGGATTTTGAGTACGCTGCACTTTCCAGTCCGGGTTTGTTGAGGTCCCTTCCGGGGTCCGGGCGGCCTTGACGTGGGATGCGTGGATCCAGGCGGCGATTCCGTCCACTTTCACGGCTGTAGGAGTGGTGAGGAGGACGATGTATGGTCCTTTCCACCGTGGTTCCAAGTTTTTGGTCTGATGGCGGCGGACCCACACAGAATCTCCTATCTGGAAACGATGAGGCACGACAGGGTCGTTCTGTTGGTCCCGGTAGACTGCCGCAAGAGGCTTCCAGACTTCACGCTGGACAATCTGAAGTGCCTGCAAGTGAGCTTGTAAAGAAGGGCTATTAGCATAATCAGATATATGAGGGTCAAGAAAATTGATAGCCGGCGGGGGAGCTCCATACAAGATTTCAAAAGGGGTGAGGCCATGGGGGCCAGGGGTATTGCGAGCGCGGTAAAGGGCAAGGGGCAGGAGGAACACCCAGTCCTTTGAGCCAGTTGCAAGTGTTAATTTGGTTAAAGTCTCCTTAATCGTTCTATTCATTCTTTCTACCTGCCCTGAGCTCTGGGGTCTGTAAGCACAGTGCAATTTCCAATCAATCCCCAACAGTTTGGCCACCAGCTGACTTACCTGGGAGACGAACGTGGGCCCATTATCAGTCCCCAACACCTGTGGCATACCATACCGAGGAAAAATTTCTTCCAACAGTTTCTTTGTCACCACTCTGGAGGTTTCTTGCTTGGTAGGGAAGGCCTCTACCCATCCTGAAAATGTGTCCACAAATACTAGGAGATACCTGTACCCATACTGGCCGGGTTTTATTTCTGTGAAGTCGATCTCCCAGTGGGTCCCTGGCCGCTGGCCGCGTACTCGCACTCCTGGGCCTACTTTGGTCTTTCCGGCGTTGACGCGTGCGCATATTGTGCACTGATCTGTCACTGATTGTAGGCTGTCCTCTTTTCCCAAGAGATACGTCAGTCCTTCTTCGCGGTCAAGGAGAGTCTTCATTTTTCGGTTGCTGAGATGGGTTAGCTTATGAAGGCGGTCTATCATCTGATAAGTCCACTTCCTGGGCCAAACTATTTTCCCGTCATACGTCCAGATCTTTTTCTCGGGGTCAAAGGTGGCCCCCATTTTATTTAGATCGTCCATGTCCTCTGGACTGTAGGGGAGTGGATCGAGTCTCTTTGCCTGAGGCTCAGATATTACTGGGAGGACTGAAGTTTTTGAAGTCCCTGTTAACGCTGCCTTTTTGGCGGCCTCATCAGCCAGCCGATTTCCCCTTGCCTCCGGGGTCTGTCCTTTTTGGTGCCCTGGGCAGTGCATAATGCTCAGTTTTTGGGGCAAGAACAAGGCCTCGAGCAGGGCCAGGATTTCAGGTTTGTTCTTGATTTCTTTGCCCTCTGAAGTCAGCAAGCCCCGTCGGCGGTAGATTTCGCCATGCACATGAGCTGTAGCAAAGGCATAGCGACTATCCGTGTAGACGTTAAGTTTCTTGCCTTTTGCCATTTTGAGGGCATGAGTCAGGGCAACCAGCTCAGCACGCTGTGCCGATGTCCCAGGCGGAAGTCCCTTAGCCCATATTACGTCAGTCTCGGTGGTGACGGCGGCTCCGGCCTTCCGCTCCCCATTGTCTAAGAAGCTGCTCCCGTCTGTATACCAAGTGAAGTCTGCGTCTCGGAGGGGCTGGTCAGTCAAGTCAGGTCGGGTTCCGTGCACTTCGGCCAGGATCTGCAGGCAGTCATGGGGCTCCGCCTCCCCCGGTTGTGGGAGTAGAGTGGCTGGATTTAAAGTTACAACGGGCCTGTATTCTGTCTTTATCTAGGAGCATGGCTTGGTAGTGTGTCATGCGGGCGTTAGAGAGCCATCGGTCTGGTGGTTGTTTGACCAAGGCCTCCACGGCATGTGGGGCCAGGATGACAAGTGGCTGGCCTAGGGTAAGCTTACCCGAGTCTTTTACCAGGACTGCAATCGCCGCGACCATCCGCAGGCACGGGGGCCATCCGGAAGCAACCGGATCCAGCTTTTTGGAGAGATAGGCCACAGGACGTCTCCAAGGCCCCAGCTTCTGGGTCAGGACCCCTTTTGCATATCCTTGTTTTTCATCTACAAATAGCTCAAACGGTTTGGCTGGATCTGGCAACCCCAGAGCCGGGGAGTGTAAGAGAGCCTCCTTAATGCTTTGGAAGGCTTTTTGTTGGACCTCTTCCCAGACAAACAGCGTCCCTGGTTTTGTTAACGGGTACAGAGGGGCCGCTATTTCCGCGAAGCCGGGGATCCACAGTCGGCAGAATCCAGCTGTTCCCAGAAACTCCCGCAACTGTCGTGGACTCTGGGGTGGGGCAATATCCATAATTGCCCGTTTGCGAGACTCTGTCAGCCACCTCTGCCCGTCCTTGATCTGATATCCTAGATATGTGACCTGCTTTTGACAAATTTGCGCCTTTTTGGCGGAGGCCCTGTATCCTATGGCACCCAGGGCCTGCAATAGGTCTTCCGTCCCTGATTTGCAGTCCTCCTGTGTCTGGGCTGCCAGTAGGAGATCATCTACGTACTGGAGCAATATTAACGTGGGGTGCTGGATTCTAAAGTCGGCTAAGTCCCGATGTAACGCCTCATCAAACAGTGTGGGGCTGTTCTTGAACCCCTGGGGCAGTCTAGTCCAAGTCAATTGTCCCGACACTCCCAGCTCAGGATCCTTCCATTCGAAGGCAAAAATAGGCTGGCTACTGGGTTGGATTCGTAAGCAAAAAAACGCGTCCTTTAAGTCCAGAACAGTATACCAGATGTGAGTGGGGGGCAGACTGCTCAGTAGGTTGTATGGATTAGGGACCGTTGGATGAATGTCCTCAACCCGTTTATTAACTTCTCTTAAGTCCTGTACCGGCCTATAGTCCTGAGTTCCTGGCTTTTTGACTGGGAGGAGCGGAGTATTCCAGGGAGACTGACAGGGGGCTAGTATTCCTTGATCTAACAGTCTCTTTATATGAGGGCGAATTCCCCGACGGGCCTCCTGGGACAGCGGGTATTGTTTTATAGACACAGGAGAGGCAGCGGCCTTTAGTTGGATAACTAAAGGAGCCTGGTGGACGGCTAAGCCTATGCCTCCCGTCTCAGCCCACGCTTGCGGGAACTTTTGCACCCAAGGCCGTATATGGGGGTCCTCTTTGTTCTGTTCTTGTTCATACAACCTGTACTCATCCTCTATTCCGAGGGTCAGTACATGTAATGGCTGTCCCTTGGGCCCAGTAATGCGTGCCCCTGTCTCCTCAAAATGAATTTGTGCCTTTAATTTGGTTAGCAAGTCTCTTCCCAGTAGAGGGTAAGGGCAGTCGGGAACATGCAAGAAGGAATGCGTTACCTTGCCGGTGGCCAGTTGCACTCTTCGATCGTGGTCCACCGATACCGCTTCCCTCCAGTGGCTCCTTGTACCCAGGCTGATCGGTCACTCAGGGGTCCGGGGGCCGTGGTTAATACCGAGTGTTGGGCCCCCGTATCCACCAGGAAGGTGACGGGTTGCCCCCCAACTTCCAGAGTTATCCTAGGCTCAGGGGGGGGGCTCCTGGCCTGGACCCCCCTAGTCGTCTAAGGTTAGCAAGGTTGTCTGGGGCCTAGGTCTCCGAGGTCCCCTGAGTCTTTTTGGACAGTCCCTCACCCAGTGTCCCTTTTCTTTACAGTATGCACACTGGTCCTTTTCCAATTGGGTGCCTGGTTTGTTGTCTCCCTTCTGTCTTCCCTGCTCCTGCTGCTGTCCTGATACTATGGTGGCCAATAACTTACTCATTTCCTTTGTTCTTTTACGATCACGTGCACTTTCTCTCTCTTCAGCTTCTTTCCTCAGCCTTTCCTCCCTTTCTTCTGGAGTCTCTCTTTTATTATAAATGCGTTCGGCTTCCTTGAGCAAGTCCTGGAGGGATAATGTCTGAAGATCCTCCTGCCTCTCTAGTTTCTTTCCTCTCTAGTTTCTTTCTGATATCAGGAGCCGATTGCCAAATAAAGGACATAGCAACATTCGTAGCCTGCCCTGGATCCTCCGGGTCATAAGGAGTGTAAATACGATATGCCTCCTTAAGACGTTCAAGGAAAGCTGAAGGCGACTCCTCTACCTTCTGAACTACTTGCTTTACCTGCGCCAAATTGGTGGGCCGCCGGGCGGCCCCTTGGAGACCCACTATTAGCAACTGGCGGTAAAGGCGTAGGTGGTTCCTACCTGCATCCGTATTGAAGTCCCAATTGGGCCGTTCCAAGGGAAAAGCAGCGTCTATCTCATTGGGCAGTTGAGTGGGACGCCCGTGGTCCCCAGGGACGTTCTTCCTAGCTTCGAGGAAAACACGCTGTTTTTCCTCGGTAGTCAACAGCACCTGCAATAGTTGCTGGCAATCGTCCCAAGTTGGTTGATGAGTCACTAAGATAGATTCAATTAAAGAAGTTAGCTTTGTGGGGTCCTTACTAAAGGGGGGTTGTTAGTTTTCCAATTATACAAGTCAGAGGCTGAAAAAGGCCAATATTGTAGTTGGCCGCCCGTTCCTGTACGCAAGGGGAGCGCCTGAGAGGTGGTGGTAGAGTCCGGGGCCTGCTCCCGGCGTCCGCGGAGTCGACCGGCCACCGGGGAAGGCGCGGGGTCGGCAGGCGGTGGAGGAGCGGCAGCAACTGCTTCCTGAGGTTGCTGAGCGTGCCCCTGGTAGGGAGGCGGCTCTTCAGTCAGTAAATCCAAGAGAGTATCCTCCCCTGGTGGCAGAACCTTTGGGGTGGTGGACCTGTTTTTCTCTGGAGGCACCTGTTTTTCACTTTCTAGGGGAACAAGGGCTGGGTAAAGTGAGGAATGCGAGGGAGGTTGAGGAGCTGGAGAGGGGAGGAGAGGAGGAGGGAGTTGGGGTTGGGGAGTCAAGGAAGGAAGGAGTGGGGACGGGAGTTGAGGTGCAGATGGAAGGGTTAAGGGGGTAGGGAGTTGGGGCGTCGGGGCGGGTAGGAAGGGTCTTATCCAAGGGGGAGGATCAGAAATAAGAGCCTCCCAAGTGACAATATAGGGGACCTGGTCTGGGTGTCCGTGTGGTCCCGGATCCATGACTTTGGCCTTCACCTGTAAGGCAATGGTTAGGTTAAAGGTTCCTTCTCGTGGCCAATCACAGTTGAAAGTGGGCCATTCGGATGAACAAAAAGTTATCCATTTTCTTTTTTTGACTTCTACTGAAAGATTGTGAGCTGATGTCTGCACATCTTTCCAGTTCTGTAAAGTAAGGTTAAGAGGGGTCGCGACAGTTTGTCCCATTTTAAACTTTAACGAACACAGACACAAGACAAACAACACTTAGCTTCGCTGCGCGTTTTTGCTCACAAACTGAAAGCAAAACCTGATGGAGACTTTAGTGAGAGTCCGGATCTCTCGTCTCCCCTGATGAACCACGCGTCCAAAAGGACCGGGTTCCAGATGGGCCACTTTTTCAGGCCCTCGGATGAGCCACTGTTTCAGGCTCCGGACACCCCCAAGACGTCTCCTGGGGGTTGCGGTCGGGAGTACGAGCTCGTCAGCTCCTCCACGGGCCCGCCAGATACGGACGAGTACGGCCGAACTCACCAGATTCGCAAGCGCACACACAGATTGACTTAAACAGTACACAGACAATACCTGGACAACACATAAACGCTGGCCAGCTTACCTCCCGAAAATGGGTCGGTGGTCCCTGGGTGGGGGTCTCTATCCCGGACGAGCCCCCAGATGAAAGACCCCCGGCGGCGTGGGGTGTCCTTCAATCTGAAGAGACCCTTCCCCAAGGAACAACGAGACCACTTGTGCGGATGCAAACAGCAAGAGGTTTATTCGGGCAAGCCCTCGGCTCCCAGGTGCACTCAACCTCGAGATCCACAAGGTTCGGGTTGAGTGTCTGAGAACCGGTTACACGGGTACCCGGGGTGACAAAGTCTATCGGGAGACTTGCGCGCCGAGTGCTTGAAAGCACCCTCTTTTTATGGACAGCAGAAGCGAGGTTACAGAAGCGAGATGCGTGGTTACAGGGGGATGATTGGTTAATTTCAAATTACGCTCAGGGTGAGGATTGGTCAGGTTAGGCTGGCCAGATGGGGTAGGTGGGGTTGGGGGAGAGCTGACGTGTCGGTACTTGCCCTGACATGCCTGTGTTGGCCGCTATGCACCGAAACTGTTTGTTCCCTAGTTTTGACAAGTGATTTATCACATCCTGCCTCATCCTAGTATTAAGGCTAAGTTTTACAGGAAGGAATGTGGTGGTCGGCTATTTTACCGGAATGCCTGGTTTTAAGGCATGTACTAAGGTCATGCTAGGGTCTGCAGGCGGTGACTCAGAGGCCCGTGGTTTCATTTCCTGGTTAGCGGCCTGCACGTATCCGGCCCCACTCTCTTCGGTATGTAGGGTGAGGGGCAGCAGTCTCTCCTAAAGGGCTCGATGGGGGGCTTCGGGCTGAGCGTCTGGGGTCTTTCATCGGTATGTAGGGTGAGGGGCGGCAGTCTTCCTTGGGGTACCTAATGGGTAAGCACGGGCTGGGGTCTTTCAACAGAAGCGAGATGCATGGTTACAGGGTGTTGATTGGCTAATTTTAAGTCATGCTTAGGGTGGGGATTGGTAAGTTTAAGTCAGGTGACGGGTCAGGCGGAGTCTGCTCGGGGTTAGCGGTGGGACTTTCCACAGGCAGTTGAGTTAGCTGACGTGTCTGTACTTGCCCTTCAGTTGTTAACTCAGAGACTCTTTGTTCCTTATCTCCGGTTAACTGCAACGACCTGCCTCGCCCTCTTCGGTACTTTCCCACCCACACAAGCTCGCGGGGGATGGTCAGCAGTTTTTCTGGGGTACCTAGTGGCCAAGCATAAACTGGGGCCTTTCACAGTGAGTCTGGGGTCTTTCACCTATAGCTCCAGATGTTTCCTTTTTGTTGTTGTGGTTGGTCGTAGAGCCTGAACTCTAAGCGCTAAGCTCTACCACTTGAGCCACAGTGCCACTTCCGGCTTTTTCTGCTTATGTGGTGCTAAGGAATCGAACCCAGGGCCTCATGCATGCAAGGCAAGCACTCTACCACGGAGCCACCTTCCCAGGCCCAGATGTCTCTTAAGATCGCACAGTTGGCATAGTTTGCTGCTTAGCCCGATGTCTCTTAAGATCGCACAGTTGGCATAGTTTGCTGCTTAGCCTGCGCGCGCTAGCCAATAACTTACTTACCCTTGCTAAACTGGAAGTCGGGCTCTCCACCCGCTGCGTGGGGGACGTTTGTGAGTCCAGGCTCGAGCTTGCAGCGGAATCGGCTCCTTGGTGGTCTTTGGGGATCCTTATCTGGGCACAACAAACAACATGAGTCAGTCTCCAATCCACACAACTTCCCGCCCTGTGCCCCTCTAGATGATGAAAACCGCTCCTCAGAGAGACAAACGCTTTCCCCCTCCCCCCTCCCTCCCTCCCCTCTCCCTCTCCCTCCCCCTCTCCCTCCCTCCCCTTCTCTCCCTCCCCCCCCCCCACCAGCCCAGTCGCCTCCCTTTCACGGGTGAGACCCCCTCCCACCCCGGGTGGATCCCCTGCAAGAAATCGCAACCCTTCCACCGGCTCCCGCGTTTTGGGGGTGCGGGTGAGCTCCCCCCCCCAAAGGTGAATCCCCTGCAGGAAATCAGCGACGAGGCGCGCGCACACCCGGCGGCGCGAAGCCCGCGGGCGGGAAAAGCAACCTTAACGGCGGGTCCGCCGCCAAGGCCTCAGCACAGGTATCCTCCCCTCCTTCCCGTTCACCTCCTGCGAGGAACCCACACCTCAAGATCCCCCCTACCTCCACCGGCGCCCCGTCAGCCTACTCCGGGAAGCCGACTCTCCCCACAGCGGACGCGCGCGGAGGCTGCAAAGCCCGCGCTGGGAGAGACCACGCCTACCGGGAACCGGAAACCCCATGACGTAGCATCCCCAGCCAGCCAACTCGCCGCAGGGGGCGGAGCCACAGCGGTGGTGGCGGCGGTGGTTTTTGAGAAACTACAAGTCCCAGAATGCAGCGCGAGCCGCCGGTTTCCGGCCACAGGGGTCTGAGCGAGTGTTTACGCCGGCGACTCTGCGGCCGGGTTCCTTCCGCGGGACGGGTGAGAGGGCCCTGCTGTCGGGGTCGCGCGCGCGTGTTACGTGGGGTCGCTACGTGACTAGCTCTGCGGGGAGAGGTGGGGTCGCGTCTCCCCATTACGACCTCGGGACCTGGGGCCGGGCGGCTTCACCTTTCTCAGGGACTGCGAAGCTGTCAAGTGGGGACGGTATTGCTATGAGATCGGTACACGAAGGGGCCACGGCCTTCCTCCTCCCTGGGGCCCGCGGTCTCTTTGGAAGCCATCGTGTCTGTAACTACGACTTCTCTTCCACTCACCGAGCTGTGGACTGGTTTTCCAGGCAGACCTGTGTGCCAGGCCTGGGGGAGGATATTAACGTATCTAGTCTGCCTTCAGAGGCTTCAAACCAAACATGGTGCCGGTCCTGGGTCTTGAACTCAAGGCCCTGAGCCACTGTCCCTGAGCTGTTCACCTCAGGTGATGCTCTACCACTTGGGCCACACGCGCAGCTCCATTTCTGGCTTTTTGATGGTTCATTGGAGGGGAGAGTCTCACGGACTTTCCTGCCTGGGATGGCTTCGAACCATGATCCTCAGATCTTAGCCTCCTGATTAGCTAGGATTTCTGGTGTGAGCACTAGCCTCCGGCTTCCTAGAAGGGCTTTTAAGGGTGCCAGTTGCTCACGTCTGTAATCCTAGTTACTCAAGAGGCTGAGATCTCAGGATCATGGTTCAAAACCAGCCCGGGCAGGAAAGTCCGTGAGACTCTTGTCTCCAATTAATCACCAGAATACCAGAAGTGGTGCTGTGACTCAAGTGGTAGAGCGCTGGCCTTGAGCTGAAGAGCTAAAGAGCTGAGGGACAGCGAGGCCCAGGTCCAGAGTTTAAGCCCCACAACCGACAAAACAAAAAAAAATTTGAGAGGGTGTGGGGCACGGGAAAGGGGAGACTTGGTAAGTAAATAGGTCTGTGTCATCCATCTTTGGCCTTGGAGGAGTAGGAAATGTAGGGGGAATGGGTAAGAAGAGAGGATATCTTAAAGAGGTTGCATTTGTGTGTGTCTCAGTAGGAGTTTATTGCTAAGACAGATGAGAGAGAGAGAGAGAGACTTCCATGGAAAGTAGAGCATTGTTAGGAGAAGAGCTTATGTTGTTGGGGAGGAAAACTGATGGTGGACAGAGTGAATGGATTTGGAACCCAAGCTCTGAAGTTAAGGGGTGGGGAAGGTGGCTCAGTGGTAGATTGCTTGCATGCATGAGGCCCTGGGTTGGATTCCTCAGCACCACATAAGTAGAAAAAGCTGGTTCTTTGGCTCAAGTGGTAGAGCACTAGCCTTGAGCTGAAGAGCTGAGGGACAGTACCCAGGCCAGAGTTCAGGCCCCACAACTGAAGAGAGGACTCTTAGATCTGTTTTAAAGGGATGTGTTGTGGTGGGGCGCTGGTGGCTCACACCTGTCATCCCAGCTACTGAGGAGGCTAAGGTCTGAGGGTCAGGTTTGAAGCCAGCCCTGGCAGGAAAGACTGTGTGACTCTGGATTTCCAATGAACCAGCAAAAAGCCTGAAGTGGAGCTGTGGCTCAAAGTGGTGGAGTGCTAGCCTTGAGCACAAAAGCTCAGGGACAGCACTCAGGCCCTGCATTCAATTCCCATGATGAAATGAAAACTAGGTATGTTGTGGCTCAATGCCTGTAATCCTAACTACTCAGGAGGCTGAGACATAGAGGATGGAGATTCAAAGTCAACTGAGCAGAACAAGTTGAGAGAATCTAATTAACTTGCAAAAAGCCAAACTGCAAGGCATGGCTCAAATGATTAAGTGCCAGCTGCTGAGCACAAGAAACTTGCACCAGACCTAGGGGCTCTGAATTGAAGCCCTGATACTGGCACAAAATAATGTGTTGAGGGAAAATAGAGATCTTTGGTGGGGAGAGGCAAGAACTTGTTATGAAGATACTTTTGTTTATTTAATTAATATATTTTGTGTGGGTATTAGGGCTTAAACTCAGGGCCTTGCACTCTAGCTTGGTTTTTTTTTTTTTTTTGGTCGGTTGTGGGGCGTGCACTCTGGGCTGGGCGCTGTCCCTCAGCTCTCCAGCTCAAGGGTTTAGCGCTCTACCACTTGAGCCACAGCGCCACTTCCGGTTTTCTGGTGGTTTATTGGAGATAGGAGTCTCACAGTCTCTCCTACCTGGGCTGGCCTTGAACCGCAATCCTCAGATCTCAGTCTCCTGAGTAGCTAGGATTACAGGCGTGAGCCACCAGCGCCCGGCTTCTAGCTTGGTTTTTGTGCTCAGGGCTGCTTGGTACTCTTTCACTTAAACCACAGCTCCACTTCCGGCTTTTTTGCTGGTTCATTGGAGATAGAGAGCCTCACCAACTTTCCAGCCTGGGTTGATCCTCATATCTCAACCTTGAGTAGGTAGGATTACAGGTATGAGCACCAGTACCTTGCTTAGCATAGATCTTTGAAAGGAAGTGGCAGGCAAGGCACAGAACTGTAATAAAGCTGTTTGAATAGGTAAAGCAAAAATTGAACAGAAAGATCAGAAATAAGGAATATAGTGAGGGGAGGCAGTTAAATGATCTCCCTTAAACCTCACAACACCCCAATTTTTTTTTTTTTTTTGGTCAGTCATGGGGCTTGAACTCAAGGCCTGGGCGCTGACCCTGAGCTCTTTTGCTCAAGGCTAGCACTCTACCACTTTGAGACACAGCTCCACTTTCAGTATTCTGGTGGTTCATTGGAGATAAGAGTCTCCTATACTTTCCTGCCCCCATTGGCTTTGAAACATGATCCTCAGATCTCAGCCTCCTAAATAGCTAGCTTTTATTCTTTTTTTCTTTTTTCTTTTGGTTGATTGTGGAGCTTGAACTCTGGGCCTCATCTCTTCAGCTCAAGATGAGTGCTCTACCACTTGAGCCACAGCACCACTTCTGGTTTTCTGGTGCTTTATTGGAGATAAGAGTCTCACAGACTTTCTTGCCCAAGTTGGCTTTCAACCGAGATCCTCAGATCTCAACCTCCTGAGTAGCTAGGATTACATGCATGAGCCACCAGGCAAACACCCTTATTGAATTGAATGGTATTTTATGCCTTCTTTCAAGATGAAGAAACCGAGCCCTGGAGAGTTGAAATCCCAGGTTTCTCAGTGTCTCAGTACTTCTTGTCTCAGTCTATTTGCACGAGAAATGGGATGGGGTGGTCCATCCTTTAATCACTAAAGATTTATTCTTTTACAGGGAGAAAGAGAGAGCGAGAAAGAGAGAGGATGTCTCTCTCAGACTGGCATCTGGCAGTGAAGCTGGCTGACCAGCCACTTGCTCCAAAGTCAATTCTGCAGTTGCCAGAGGCAGAACTGGGTGAATATTCACTAGGTGGCTATAGTATTTCGTTTCTAAAGCAGCTGATTGCCGGCAAACTCCAGGAATCTGTGCCAGACCCTGAGCTGATTGGTAAGTCTCTGTGGACTGGGGTCAGGCTCTGTTCTCTTCTTGGGAGAGGATACTTCTGGAGTAAAAGAGTGGCTGGGTATGGTGGTGATCTTGGCATTGGGGAGACTGAGGCAGGAGAATCATGATTGGAGACCAACTGCCTACAAAAGATACCTTGTCTGAGGAGGGGTGAATTAAGGGACTGGAATTTGATGTTTCAAAATTAATGTATTGTTTTATGTAAGGAGAGACACAGAACCCCAGACAGAACTAAACTATTGGCCACTATTTCAGTTATGGGCTGTTAGGAGTTACATCATAACAGAATTCCTTAATTATGATACTGTTGAGCTTATTTATTTATTTATTTTGCTAGCCCTGGGCACTGTCCCTGAGCTCCTTTTTGGTCAAGGCTAGCACTCTACCACTTGAGCCACAATACCACTTCCAGCTTTTTCTGTTTATATGGTACTAAGGAATCAAACTCAGGGCTTCATGCATGCTAGGCAAGCATTCTGCCAGAAAGCCACATTCCCAGCTGCAACTCCTGGCTTTTTTTTTTTTTTTGTGCAGTTTGTCACTATGATCTTATTTCTTTTTTTTTTTTTTTTCAAATTTTTTATTATGATTAAGTGGTTACATAATTTCCCAAATTTCACAGTATTGTGGGATAGTGAAGCTTAGTTAAAGTGACAAACACATTCTAACTTTCATAGAACAAATTGTCTATCGTGGTCTATAACATTGATGGGTTCTGTGAGCTTTGTGATACAGTTATTTCTTCCACATTGGGTGATATGTACATTTCTTTTGTTTTGCATAGCATCAGCTGTTTCCTCTTTCCCACTCGTTCCTTCCCTCCCATCGCTGCCATTGAGTTGCTTAGTTCATTTTGGTCAATGTCCAGTGCAGTTGATGGGTCCCGCTGTTGTATGTTTTTCCCTGATTCCCTCTAGTTCTGTGTTGTCCTCCTGGTTTCCCTCCAGTGTGCACATATATACCATACATGTGATCAGTAGCATGGGGGTTATTTAGTAGTGATTGGACCAGATGAATGGAAGTCCTTTGTTTCTTAAGTCCTGTTAATTTTGTCATGTCACCTAACATTTTGGATTTAACATCCACTTATCAGGGAGACCATGTGCCATTTGTCTCTTTGCACTTGGCTTACCTCGCTCAACATGATTCCTTCTAGCTCCATCCATTTCCCTGCAAATGCCATTATTTTGTCGTTTCTAATGACTGCATAATATTCCATTGTGTATAGATACCACAATTTTTGGATCCATTCATCTGTGGTGGGACATCTGGGTTGTTTCCATATCCTAGCTATTGTGAACAGTGCTGCGATAAACATGGAGGTGCATGTGTTCTTGTATACTGGTTCCTGTTGTTCAGGATAGATGCCTAGAAGTGGTATGACTGGGTCATAAGGGAGGTCAATATTTAGCTTGCTGAGGACCCTCCACACTGCTTTCCAAAGTGGTTGTATAAATGTACATTCCCACCAGCAGTGTAATAGGGTTCCTCCTTCTCCACATCCCCTCCAGCATTTGTTGTTGGCTGACTTGAGGATGTGGGCCATTCTGACTGGGATAAGGTGGTATCTCAGGGTTGTCTTTATTTGCATTTCCTTCACCACCAGGGATGATGAACATTTCCTCATGTATTTCTTGCCATTTTTATCTCTTCTTCTGAGAAGTCTCTCTTTAGTTCCCTTGCCCATTTAGTAATTGGTTTGTTAGGTTTGGGAGGGATTAGTTTCTTGAGTTCCCTGTATATATAGGATGTTAACCCCTTGTCTGATATATTGCTGGTAAATATTTTTTCCCATTAGTTGGTTGTCTTTCTAGCTTGGTTGCGATAGATTTGGCTGTGCAGAAGCTTTTTATTTTAAGGTAGTCCCATTTGTCGAGTCTCTCTCCAATTTGTTGTGACCCTGGGACTCTGTTCAGGAAGTTCCTTCCTGTGCCTATTAGTTCATGTGTTTCTCTTACTCTGTCCTGCAGTAGTTTCAGAGATTCAGGTCTGATGTTAAGGTCTTTAATCCATTTTGAGTTGATGTTGGTGCATGGTGATAGGCTGGGGTCCACTTTTAGTCTTCTGCTTGTGGCCGACCAGTTTTCCCAGCACCAGTGATTGAAGAGGCTGTGTTTCTTCCATTGTATGTCTTTGGCTCCTTTGTCAAATATCAGCTGACTGTAGGTATGTGGTTTTATTTCTGGATCTTCTATTCCATTGGTCTTCGGGTCTGTTTTGGTGCCAGGACCATGCTGTCTTTGTTATTATGGCTCTATAGTAGAGTTTGAAGTTTGGCATCGAGATCCCTCCCATGTTGTCTTTTTTTTCCCTAGAATTTGTCTTGGCTATTCTAGGTCTTTTGTTGTTCCATATGAATTTTTGGACTGTTTTCTATATTTCAGAAATGTACATCATTGGGGTTTTAATAGGATTTGCATTGGATTTGTATATTAATTTTGGCAGTATTGCCATTTTCACTATATTAAGTCGGCCTATCCAAGAGCATGGAAGGTCTTTCCATTTCCTAGTGTTTTCTGTAATTTCTTTCTTTAACTTTTTATAGTTTTCATTAAATAGTTCTTTTACATCTTTGGTTAGGTTAATTCCTAAATATTTTATTTTTTGGGAGGTTATTGTGAATAGGGTAGCTTCCTTTATTTCCCTCTCTTCTTGTACATTGTCAGTGTACAGGAAGGTGACTGATTTTTGTGGGTTGATTTTGTTTCCTGCTACTTTGCCGGAGTGATTTATAATTTCTAGGAGTTTGGGGATGGAGTTTTTGTTTTTTTTGGGTTTTTTTGTTTTGTTTTTTGGATCCAGTTGTGGGGCCTGAACTTTGGGCCTGTGTGCTGTCCCTCAGCTCTTCAGCTCAAGGCTAGCGCTCTACCACTTGAGCCACAGCGCTACTTCCGGCTTTTTTCTTATATGGTGCTGAGGAATTGAACCCAGGGCCTCAGGCATGCAAGGCAAGTGCTCTACCACTGAGCCACCTTCTGGGGATGGAATTTTTGGGATCATGAAAGTATAGTATCATGTCATCTGCAAAAAGAGATAATTTAACCTCTTTCCCTATGCAGATCCCTTTAATGTCTTTTTCTTCCTGGCTTTTTCTGGTTGTTGTTGGTCGGTTGGTTGTGGGGCTTGAACTCTGGGCCTGGACGCTGTCCCTGCGCTCTTCAGCTCAAGGCGAGTGCTCTACCACTTGAGCCAAAATGCTACTTCCGGTTTTCTGATGGCTTATTGGAGATAAGAGTCTCACACACTTTCCTGCCAGCGCTGGCTCACTGGTGCCCCACTTTTAAAAAATGTATTGGAATCTGGTGGTGGCTCATGCCTGTAATCCCAGCTACTCAGGAGGCTGAGATGTGATGATCACAGTTCAAAGCCAGCCGGGGCTGGGGGCTGGGGCAGGAAAGTCGGTGAGACTCTTATCTCCAATAAACCACTCAGAAAACTGTAAGTAGTGCTTGCCTTGAGCTGAAGGGCTGAGGGACAGTGCCCAGGCCCAGAGTTCAAGCTCCACAACCAACAACAACAGCAACAAAAATGTTTTGGAGATTAAAAGTCTCATGGACTTTCCTGCCCAGGCTGGCTTTGAATCAGGATCCTCCGATCTTAGCCTCCCAAGGAGCTAGGATTACAGGTGTAAGCCACCAGTGCCTGGGAGGCGAGGTGTGGGCTAGTGTGTGTGTGTGTGTGTGTGTGTGTGTGTGTGTGTATGGTTGTTTTTTTTTTTTTTTCAGTCGTGGGTCTTGAACTCTGGGCCTGGGCGCTGTCCCTCAGCTGTTCAGCTCAAGGCAAGCACTCTACCACTTGAGCTACAGCGCCACTTCCGGTTTTTTCTGGTGGTTTATTGGAGATAGGAGTCTCACGGTCTTTCCTGCCCGGGCTGTCTTTGAATCTCCATCCTCAGGACTCAGCCTCCTGAGTAGCTAGGATTACAGGCGTGAGCCACCAGCTGGCGTGTTTATGGTTTTGATTGGTCATTTGACTTGAAATCAGGACCTTGGTTCTGTCTCTTAGCTCCTTTTGCTAAACACTAGTGTTCTAACACTTGTGTCACAGCTCCATTTCTGTTTTTATGTTTTTTATTGTAAAAATACTGTACAGAGGGGTTACAGTTACACCAGTAAGGTAATGAGTACATTTCCTATTGAGCATTGTTACCTCCTCCTTTGTTTTTCCCCTACCATCCCTTCCCTCCCCACCTCCCCAACTCCATCTTCCCCCCCCCTCCAAGTTGTTAAGTTTGTTTTCAACACAGTGTTTGTTTTTTGTTGTCAGTTGTGGGTCTTGAACTCTGGCCTGGGCGCTGTCCCTCAGCTCTTAGGCTCAAGGCTAGCGCTCTACCACTTGAGCCACAGCAACACTTCCAGTTTTCTGGTGGTTAATTGGAGATAAGAGACTCAGACTTTCCTGGCTGGCTTTGAACTGCGATCCTCAGATCTCAGCCTCCTGAGTAGCTAGGATGACAGGCGTGAGCCACTGGTGCCCGCCTCTTTCTTTTTTTTTTAATGTCCAAGTTTGGGCTGGATCTAGGGAAGAAATTTTTAATCAAGGGAGGTTCCTAACTGTATTCCTTAAGTCTTGAGGGATAGTTAGATGGGTTTTTGTTCGTTTGGTTGATGAGAAAGGAACGCAGCAGGAAAAGGAAATGAAAGGCAAGTGCTGGTGGTTCACACCTATAGACCTAGTGACTCAGGAGGCTGAGAGCTGAGGATCAAAATTTGAAGCTAGACGATCAAAAAAAGTCTGTGACATTCTTCAATTAATCACCAAAAATCCAGAAGTGGAGCTGTGACTCAAGTAGTAGAGCACCAGCTTTGGCCAAAAAGCTAAGAGACAGTGCCTAGGCTCTGAATTCAAGTCCCAGGACCAACACACACACACACACACACACACACACACGCACACACACACACACACGCACACACACACACACGGATACTCCTATTAATGAGCATATTAACACTTATTATCAACTACAAACTTTTTTGTGTGGTGGTACTGAGGCTTGAACCCAGGGCCTAGTGATCTTGCTTGGCTTTTCTGATTCTTGCTTGGCTTTTCTGATCAAGGCTGGCATACTACCACTTGAGCCACACCTCACTTCTGGCTTTTGTTTTTTTAGTAATTAATTGGAGATAGGAGTTTCTTGGCTGGCTTGGAATTGAGATCTGCAGATCTCAGCCTCCTGAGTAGCTAGGATGTCAGGTGTGAGCCACCAGCACCTACAGAGTATCTCCTTTTAAAGAATATACATTCTCCATCAGCAAAATGGAAGCAGACATCTCTTTTTGTTTTTCAGACCTAATCTACTGTGGCCGTAAGCTGAAAGATGACCAGACACTCGACTTCTACGGCATTCAGCCAGGGTCCACGGTGCACGTTCTGCGCAAGTCCTGGCCTGAGCCCGATCAGAAACCGGGTAAGTCAGGGCTGGCCCTTAGTCAGATGGGCAGAGCTTCTAGAATATCTCCAAAGGGAAGGGTGGAGTGTTCTTAAAGCCTAAGCCTGGGTAAAACAAAGGGGTGATTTATTGAAATGGTGTTATGGTATTAGGTGATACTTAAATTGCTTACTGAATTACAAACAGCCTAGTTGTTGACTCTCTTTTTTTTTTTTGGCTGGTCCTAGAGTATGAATTTGGCCCAGGTGATATCCCTGAGCCTCTGTAGGCCCAAGGCTAGTGCTTTTCCACTTGAGCCAAAGCACCATTTCCAGCTTTTTTTCGTGGGGCCTGAACTCTAGGCCTGGGCACTATCCTTCAGCTCTTCAGTTCAAGGCTAGCGCTCTACCGCTTGAGCCACAGCGCCACTTATGGCTTTTTCTGCTTATGTGGTACTGAGGAATCGAACCCAGGGTCTCATGCATACAAAGCAAGCACTGTACCATTGAGACACCTTCCCAGACCCCATTTCCAGCTTTTTTGGGATGAGAGTCTCAGAAGGACTTTTCTGCCAGGCTTGCTTCAAACTGTGATCCTCAGATCTTGCTTCTTATGTAGCAAGGGTGACAGGTGTGAGCCATGGGCTCCTGGCTTCTTGTATTTTCTTTTTCTTCTTTTTTTTTTTTTTTTGGTCGGTCATGGGCCCGAGCACTGTCCCTCAGCTCTTCAGCTCAATGCTGAGCCACAGAGCCACTTCTGGTTTTCTGGTCGTTTATTGGAGATAAGAGTTTCACAGCTTTTCCTGCCTGGGCTGACTTTGAACCTCGATCCTCAGATCTCAACCTCCTGAGTAGCTAGAATGACAGGCATGAGCCATTGGGGCCCCCTAAGAAAGTTTAGGGTTTTGTTGTTGTTGTTGTTTTGCTTTGCTTTTGTCAGTCATGGGCTTGAACTCTGGGCCTGGGCTCTGCTCCTGAGCTCTTCAGTTCAAGGTGACCTCTCTACCACTTGAGCCACAGCACCACTTCTTAGTGGATCAATTCCTTCCTTCCTTCCTTCCTTCTTTCCTTCCTTCGTTCCTTCATTCCTTTCTTTCTTTCTTTCTTTCTTTTTTTTTTTTGTCACTCATGGGGCTTGAACTCTGGGCCTGGGCACTGTCCCTGAACTCTTCAGTTCAAAGTGAGCTCCCTACCACTTGAGCCACAGTGCCCCTTCCTTCTTTTTTTTTAAAGACTTAAAGAAACATGGAAATATGGACGAGGACATAGTTTCCCCGGACTAATGTTTGCTGAATACTGCTCTTCTTGTCCTCACCAGCCTTGGACCATATGCACACTGACACATTTTATAGTTCAGAGAATGCGCATACCACTTTGCATTCTATTTCTTTCTCTTAACATATTGTGTCAGCAGAGTGCTATGTTGTCAAGATTGCAGTATACTTTTTTTTTTTTCAAATTTCTGCATAAGTCTTCTGAGTTGATTATATATTCTTCCTTTTTTTTCTCAAGTGTAAGCGGGGAGTGACAAGACTTCTCACTGCTAGAACTTGGATTTGTTTCTCTACTGGCTATCTCTGAAAAAAAAACATTGCATTTTTCATATCACTGTCACCAACCAAGTTTTTCCCTTTTTTTTTTTTTGGTGCTGGTACTGGGCTTGAACTCAGTGCTGGTGCTTTCCCTGAGCTTTTTCACTCAAAGCTGATATTCTACCACTTGAGCCTCAGCTGTACTTCTGGCTTTTTGCTGGTGCTTCATTGGAGATAAGAGTCCCATGGACTTTCCTACCTGGGGCTGGCATTGAACCACTCAGCCTCCTGAATAGCTAGGATGACAGGCGTGAGCCACTGTGAGGAGGGAAGGAAATGTGAGTCGTAGGCTGCCATGATGTTCCTCCAGCCCTGAGGAGGACAGGGTCCCGGCCTGTAGGGTCAATGAATGTCTTCTCCTCCAGAACCTGTGGACAAAGTCGCCGCCCAGAGGGAGTTCCGGGTCCTGCACACTGCCTTGCACAGCAGCTCCTCCTACAGGGAGGCGGTGAGTATGAGCCTGGATTGCAGGAGAGCACGAGAGTGTGCTGGCGAGTGGTCGGGAGTGGGAGCTGGCAGCCCATTTCCATAGCAACTCAGAGTTCCTCTGGGAGTTTCTGCCATGGCTGTGGGCCTCCCTGGAGCCCTGTGTCTCCCCGCCCCGCCCCAAAGAGCGGGTCTCAGCCAGGCCATGGCTGTTAGTTTTCTCCAATGATAATGATACACCCCCTCCTCAGACTGGCCTGGTGGGCTGAATGTAGTGAGGCAGAGGGTCCTATGTAATTTCTGAAGGGCCCCCGTGCTGGGACCGTGGCTGATCTGCCCGCCTGTGGCTCTTTAGTGTGCAATTCCTCCCTGGGGAAATGGGCTGCTGTCTCTCTGTGGGAGAATTGACGGGCCGAATTAACCCAGCATTAGTACAGCGTGAACTTCCCACCAACAGATGTAATTGTGTACAGATGGGCGAGGGCTTAGGGGAGCTTTTGTTATTGGCCTTCTTGTGCAAGATTTTATTTTAGAAGTATTGGGAATATGGGGTGGAGGAGGGAGGTTTACTGTGGATTTGCTTCCTTCCTTTCCCTCCCCTCTTCCCCGGCTCCCCCCCTCCCCTCTCCCTTCCTCTCTTTTCCTTCCCTCCCTCTGTCACCCTCCTACTTCCTCTTTCCCTCCCTCTCCCTCCTTCCTTCTCTCCCTCTCTCTTTCCCTCTCTCTTTCTCTTCCTCTCTCTTATCTTTCTGTTCTCCCACCCTCTTTTTTCCCCTTCCCTCTTTTACTCCCTCTCTCCCTCCTTTTCTCCCTCCTTCCCTTCCTCTTTTTTTCTTTCTTTTTGTGCCAATTCTGAGGCTTGAACTCGGCCTGGGCACTGTTCCTGAATTTTTGTGCTCAAGGCTAATGGTCTACCACTTTGAGCCACAGCTCCATATCTGGCTTTTGGGGTAGTTAATTGGAAATAAGAGCCTCATAGACTTCTTTTTTCTTTTCTTTTCTTTTCTTTTTCCTTCTTTTGTTGTTATTGGTGGTAGTTGTAGGCTTGAACTCTGGGCCTGAACATTGTCCCTGAGCAATTCAGCTCAAGGCTAGTGCTCTACTACTCGAGCCACAGCGCCACTTCCGATTTTCTGGTGATTAATTGGAGATAAAGAGTCTCACAGACTTTCCTGCCCAGACTGGCTTTGAACCATGATCCCCAGATCTCAGTCTCCTGAGTAGCTAGGATGACAGGCGTGAACACCGGTGCCCAGCTTCATGGACTCTTTTGCCCCATTGGCTTCAGACTTTCCTTCTCAGATCTTAGCCTCCTGAGTAGCTTGGATTATAGGCTTGAGCCACAACGCCTGGCTTGAAGAAGTTTTAGCAGTCGGCATTTGATGAAAGGTAGGCTAGTTGAAGAGTAAACCACTCCCCACCCACCCACCCACCCATTTTTCTTGCAGGTTTTTAAGATGCTCAGCAATAAGGAATCGCTGGATCAGATCATTGTGGCGACCCCAGGCCTCAGCAGTGACCCCATTGCTCTGGGTAAGCACAGGCGAAAATCCGAGGAAACAAAATGAGAAGGCATTGGCCCTAAAGAGATTCCGACTATCCTTTTTTTTGGAGGGGGGTGGGAATCTCACTGGTCTTGGAGAAAGATAGAATAATCAAGATGTGCTTCATCATGTAGTAGAGAGGACCAGAGGGGACACAGAAACAGAGAGAAGAAGGGTGGAAATGCAGTCATTATAACCAGTGTCCACTGTATAAAAAAGTAGGTAGCCATGCTCCAGTGGTTTATGCCTGTTATCCTAGCTACTCAGGAGGCTGAGATTTGAGGATTGGGGTTCAAAGCCAGCTCAGGGCAGGAAATTCTGAGACTCTTACCTCCAATGAACTACCAGAAAACTGGAAGTAGCCCTGTGGCTCAAGTGATAGAGCGCTAGCCTTGAGCAAAAGAGCTCAGTGATAGTGCCCAGGCCTTGAGTTCAGTCCCAGGACCAGCACCAAAAATAAGATGAACATCCCTCTTGGATCCATTCCCTCTGTCTGAGGGGCTCTCTGCTCATTTTCAGGGGTCCTCCAGGACAAAGACCTCTTCTCCGTCTTCGCTGACCCCAACATGCTGGATACGTAAGTATCACTTCTGCCTCATTGTCGCTAGATTCTGCTCTGGGAGTGGTACTCACCCTGTCCATGTCTAGTCTGCCTTCTGACCATGAATGTGGCAAAGCTGTGTGGAGGGGCAGGACACAGCCACATTCGTTCAAGGGGAGGGTTCCGTGTGCCAGGAGCTGTGAGGCTTCATTCTGTGGAAGTCAGGTTCTGACACAGCCACATTCTTTCAAGGGGAGGGCTCCCTGTGCCAGGAGCTGTGGAAGTCAGGTTCTAGAGCTCAGAGCTGATCGCTGCCTACGCATGGATTGGCCATCATTGTTTCAGCATCAGCCCTCGTGCATTCTGGTCTCCACATTCCTTCCCCTCTTTGGGGAGATCTGGGGGTCCTGCAATTTGATGAACTCAGGGCCTGGGTGCTGTCCCTGAGGTATTGTGGTCAAGGCCGGCACTCTACCACTTGAGCCACATCTCCACTTACGGCTTTTTTTAGCTAAGAGTTTTGTGGCTGGCTTTCTCAGCCTCTTGAGTTTCTCAGATTACAGGTATGAGCTACCACACCCAACTAATAGGAACCTTTCACAGATTTTAAGCTAGGAAAAGAAATCGAGTGTTAGGTGTGGAAGGGACAGCAGAGGCTCTGTCCCCAAGGATAAAAAAGGGGCTGTCACCAGGCTGCTGGAGGGCAGAGGCAGCCGAGAAAAACCACTTCCTTATACATCACTGTCCCAGTCATTCTTCGGGGGTGCTGGCCCAAAACCGTTCAGACTTGCAAAACAAGTTACGTGCTAAAAGTTCCTGCTGACCCTGGCCCTATAAACCCTGCTACAACCAGACTCTGTGTGACCTATCTGATCCTGACCAGGGAGTTCACCTGGGAGTATACCCCAATGAACTTTCCTGTCAATCAAAAAAAAGGGGTGGGGTGCTGTCTGTGGTTGCCTGGTACAACCATAGACATGGATACTGCACCTTGGGCCTACTTGTCTGTTTCCCATCATGCCTTGCTTGAAGCACATGTGACAGATCTATTGCAGATCAAAAGCTGGATGATTCTAAACAAGGATATTCTTTGTTTCTTTTCTTTTCTTTTCTCTTTTTTGGGGGGCGCTGACCCTTGGGCTTGAACTCCTTTGGCTTTTTAACTTAAGGCTAGAGCTCTACCACTTGAGCTTCTACCTCAGCCAGGGGCCAGTGGCTCATGCCTGTAATCCTAGCTACTCAGGAAGCTGAGATCTGAGAATCTCAGTTCAAAGCCAGCCCGGGCAGGAAAGTCCGTGAGATTCTTACCTCCAGTGAACCACTAGAAAACCAGAAGTGGTGCTGTGGCTCAAGTGTAGAGTGCTCACCTTGAGCTTGGGACAGCTCCCAGGCCCAGAGTTCAAGAGAGTCTCATGGATTTTCCTGTCTGGGCTGGTTTTAAGCCATGATCCTCAGGTCTCAACCTCTGGAATAGCTTGGATGGCAGGCATGAGCCACCGCACTTGGCTTGTTCTTCGCTTCTGAGTCATGTGACCTGAGCCAAAGCGCTTGTCGTTCCCCCATCCCCCCAACCTAGGTTGGTGCCCGCTCACCCAGCACTAGTCAATGCCATCATCTTGGTTCTGCACTCGGTAGCAGGCAGCACCCCGATGCCGGGAGCTGACTCCTCTTCCCGGAGCGTGCCATCCAGCTCGTACCGGGAGATGCCAGGTGAGGCCCCCAGGGAGCTGGTAATGGCCCAGGGATTCGCTTTCCTCGGCGGCTATGTATAGCGTTGGCAGAGGGCGTTCCTTGGGAGCGCTCGGTTTGAGTCAGGAAGTGCATCTGTCCTGTAATTTTCCAACGGGAGCGAGGAGGTAGGAATTTGGAGAGGAGCTTGAGCTGTGATCTGGAGCCGAGCCTGGGCCTTTCTGTTCTCCCTCTTGGAGTTTGTTCCCTCTCCTCCAGGTGGCTTCCTGTTCGAAGGGCTCTCAGACGAGGAGGATGACTTTCACCCCGTGAGTGGCTAGCTGCTGGCCCTTGGGGGGGAGAAGGGGCGCTCTCCCTGGGATCCGGCACTCCCAGGGCTGGGAAGTGTAGCACTGGGCTCTCCTGGGGTGTGGGGGGGGGGGGCGGTGGCTGTGGGGAGTCATATTCATGCCATACTAATATTCCTTTGGGGGCTTGGAGGATCGCCTCGGGTGGTTTTGGCATCGGGGTGGCATTCTCTTGCGACCTTCTCGCTGCTTCGCCCCTGATTCGGGGTGTCGTCTTTTCCAGAGCACCCGGTCCACGCCCTCTAGCAGCACACCCAGCTCCCGTCCAGCCTCTCTGGGGTACAGTGGGGCAGCGGGGCCCCGGCCCATAACCCAGAGTGAGCTAGCCACCGCGCTGGCCCTGGCCAGCACGCCCGAGAGCAGCTCCCACACACCCACTCCTGGCACCCAGGTAAGAGAGAGGCCTGGTAAGGGCAAGGACGGGCCTTAAGGGGGTGTTCCCTCCCGCCCCCCCCACTCTGGGGAGCCTTTGCTAACCCTAGTGCTAGATCTGCTCTCAAAAGAACCCTGCAATCGGGGCCACCCCAGGGTTTAGCCCGGGCCTGGCCAGCCCCTGTGTCTTCATCCTTAGTAGAGTTTAGGCTTCATTGCTTCAACAGCTGGCCCCCCACCAGTCCTAGGGCCCTAGGGTCTTGTCTGGGGCTTGGGGGCTCCGTTTCCCTGGAGTAGAAAAGAGAACAGACCCATTTCCTGCCTGTGTAGCTTTTGGGCTACAGCAGCCGCATGGGAGTGAAGTTCCCCAGGAGTATTGTGGGCCGTGTGAGCTCGGTGGTAACTCGGGAGGCTGAGCTGGCTCTGAGGGCCACTCTGACTGCACGTTTGTCTCCAGGGCCATTCCTCGGGGACCTCTCCGATGTCCTCTGGTGTCCAGTCAGGGACACCCATTACCAACGACCTCTTCAGCCAGGCCCTCCAGCATGCCCTGCAGGCCTCTGGGCAGCCCAGCCTCCAGGTCAGTCTGCCGCACTTCCTGGGTTCTGTGAAGACTCTTTGGGTTTGTTCCCTCCCCCTCCTATCCCAAAACTGGGACTCAAACTCAGCACATAATGCTCCTGCTGGCATTCTGCCACCCGAGCCATACCTCTACTCCCTGTTTAGTTTTGTGCCCGTCTTAGGGCTTAAACTCTGGGCAGGATGTTGTTCCCTTAGCCTTTTATTCTTTATTTTTTGTCGGTCATGGGACTTGAACTGTGGGCCTGGGCACTGTCCCTGAGCTCTTCAGTTCAAGGCAAGCACTCTACCACTTGAGCCACAGTGCCACTTCCAGTTTTCTGGTAGTTTATTAGAGATAAGAGTGTCATGGACTTTTCTGCCTGGGCTGGCTTTGCTGCAATCCTCAAATCTCAGCCTCCTGAGTAGCTAGGATTACAGATGTGAGCCACTGGCGCCCAGCTCCCTTACCTTTTTTGTTTAAGGCTAGCACTCTACTACTTGAGCCACAGGGACCTGTCTGTCTTTCTTCTATTTAATGAGGAATAAGAGTTTCCACAGACTTTCCTGCCTGGGCTGGCTGTGAACTGAGATCCTTAGATCTCAGCCTCCTGAGTAGCTAGGATGACAGGCCTGAGCCACAGGCACCTAGCCCTTCATTTCTTGACTTGGGTAATCATTGTTGTAGTCAAGTATTCATTCATTCATTCATTCATTCACTCAATGAGCACCAACTAAGCATTGTACACGTTTATTCTGGGCTTGCATCCCTGGATCCAGGTTCTGGGGCTCAGAGAGAATGAGTTCCATTTCTGCTTTCTTGGCTGGGCCTCACTCAGAGCCTTCCCTGCCTTCTCCCTCCACATGTGGGCATGCATTTCCCTCTGCTCATGAGGTAGCTATTGATGAAGCCAGGAAGATACTGGAAGGAAATGTGGGTCTCTTGAAATCCTTACAGTAGAGAAGGCCTTTCATGGCTGAAACTTAGACTCCCAAGAGCCAACAAATAAAAGTGAATACACTTGGAGTTTGTGAATTTGAAAACTGCCTGACAAAGCAAGTCCAGAAAACACACTGGTGGCTCATGCCTATAATCCTAGCAACTCAGGAGGCTGAGATCTGAGGATCCTAGCTCAGGACAGGAAAGTCCATGAGACTCTGTCTCCAATTAGCCACCAAAAGGCCCAAAATGGAGCTGTGGCTCAACTGATAAGAGTGCTGGCCTTGGGCTGGGAAGGTGGCTCAGTGGTAGAGTGCTTGCCTTGCATGCCTGAGGCCCTGGGTTCGATTCCTCAGCACCACATAAGCAAAAAGAAAAAAGACAGAAGTGGCTCTGTGGCTCAAGTGGTAGAGCGCTAGCCTTGAGCTGAAGAGCTGAGGGACAGCGCCCAGGCCCAGAGTTCAGGCCCACGACCGGACCCAAAAAAAAAAAAAAGAGTGCTAGCCTTGAGCAAAAAAAGCTCAAGGACAGTGCCAGGCCTTGAGTTCAAGTCCCAGGACTGGTACAAAAAAGTAAAGTCTAAAAAGAGACAGAAAACAAAACTAATTCCCATCAGCCAAGTCTAGAGGCCAACAGTAAGATGTAAAGTCTTCCTGATGTATAGAGGTCTAGAAATTTCAGCCCTGTAATTCCAATGAAAAGTGAGCGAAGGATATGAGCAAGCTGTTCTTGAAAAGGAAGTTCAGATATCTGTAAGATCAGTAGTTCCCAGCAGTCCCAATTCTCAGAATTTGACCAGGAAAATGTGTGCACGTGTAGAAAATGATAGTTGCATTGTCTCTGGGGCATTACTTACCATGCCAAAAGATTGAGTTAGAATATTATATGATTATTAAATAAGTTCTTTGTGCCAGGCATGGTGGCTCATACCTGTCATCCTAGCTACTCAGGAGGCTGAGACCTGAGAATTGAGGTTCAAAGCCAGCCTAGGCAGGAAAGTCTATTAAACTGTTATATCCAATAAACTACCAGAAAACCAAAAATGGCACTGTGGCTCAAGTAGTAGAGCACTGGCCTTGAGCTGAAGAGCTGAGGGACAGCGCCCAGGCCCAGAATCCAAGCCCCATGACTGACTGTTGCTGGGTATGGAGGCATATACCTTTAATCTTAGTACCTAGGAAGTTGAGTCAGGAAGATCTCAAGTTCAAGGCCCATCTGAGCTACATAGTAAGAGCCTGTGTAAAAGAAAAACAAAACCCCCAAAAGTCTGGCTAAGGTGTTTGACTCATGCCTGTAGCCCTCAACTACTGGGGTGGTTAAAATATTGGGGGAATTTTAGTTCAAGGCAGCCTGAGCAGAAAGGTTCAGGAGAGGGGCTGGGAAGGTGGCTCAGTGGTAAAGTACTGCCTAGCATGCATGAAGCCCTGGGTTCGATTCCTCAGTACCACATACACAGAAAAGTGTGGTACATACACACACCAGAAGTGGTGCTGTGGCTCAAGTGGCAGATTGCTAGCCTTGAGCAAAAGAAGCTCAGGGACAGTGCCCAGGCCCTGAGTTCAAGCCCCAGGACTGGCAAAAAGAAAGAAAAGTTCAGGAGATCCTCCTCCACTAGCTTCCACTCCCCACCCCGCATTCTCAATCCATAGCTGGGCATAGTGATTGTCCTCCCAAGCTATGTGGGAGGCTGAGATCGAGAGGATCGCAGTTTGAGGCCAACCTAGGCAGAAAGGTCACGGCAGAAAGGTCACGGGAGGGAAGCTGCATGTGATCGTACATGCCTGTGAACCCCGGCACATTACAAGAAGCCTACAGATAACAAGAAGCCTACAGTTGGCGAATTGAAGTCCAGGCATACACCCAGATGGGAAGGGAGACCCTATCTCAGAAATAACCAGAGGGAAAACAGGGCTGGAGGTGTGGCTCAGCACTAGAGCTCCTGCCTAGCTAGGGTGAGGCTGAGTTCAAACCCCAATGCCACTCTGTATGCTAGCATGGGAACTTCTCTGGGATAAATTGATCGCATGAAAGAGGGGGGAAAACAAAAAAACATAACCCAAAGGGGTAAGGGAGGATGTAGAACAGGATAAGAAAAAGATAAACACAGGAATAAATGTATTTTCTCAAAGGATGTAAAATTGGTTGTCTTAGGGTAGGAGTGGGTGTTAGAAAATGAAACTAGTTATTTGTATTTGTTTTCTGGCTTTCAGTGGGAGGGTTTGTTTCGTTTTGGTTTTTTGTTTCTTTGTCAGTACTAGGGTTTGAACTCTAGCTTGCTAGGCAGGTGCTCTTCCACTTGAAGCATGTCCTTAGCTTTCTTTTTTCCTTTTTTTTTTTTTCTGGTTGTAGGGCTTGAGTGCTGTCCCTGAACATCTTTTGTTCAAAGCAACTGCTCTACCAACTGAGCCACAGTACCACGTTCAGTTTTTTCCAGATTTTTCTGGAGATAAGATCTCATGCATTTGCGGGTGCTGGTGGCTCACACCTGTAATCCTAGCTACTCAAGAGGCTGAGATCTGAGGATTGAGGTTCAAAGCCAGCCCGGGCAGGACAAAGTCCGTGAGACTCTTATCTCCACTCAATCACCAGAATACAAGAGGTGGCGCTGTGGCTCAAGTGGTAGAGCGCTCCCCTTGAGCTGAAGAGCTGAGGGACAGCGCCCAGGCCCAGAGTTCAAGCCCCACGACTGACAAAATTATCTCCCTCTCATTTGTGTGTGTGTGTGTGTGTGTGTGTGTATGCACACGCATGTGCAGATAGAGGAGAAAAAGTAATCTTTTCTGATTTAAACATTGAATAATTTGTGCCTTCTGTTTGATTTTTTTCCCCCTTTGGTAATCCTGGGATTTGAACTCAGGACCTGGAGCAGGCGCTCTATCACTTGAGCCACATCCCCAGCCCTCTCTTGATTTCTTTTGCTGAAAAACATGACATTTCCTCTCTTAAACCTCAAGCCTATCTTTTCAGCCAGCCCTATTCCTGGGGCCTCCCACCTCCCTTCCTTGCCGTTAACCACCTTCTGCCTTCTGGGTCTTTCCACAGAGCCAGTGGCGGCCTCAGCTGCAGCAGCTGCGTGACATGGGCATCCAGGATGATGAGCTGAGTCTGCGGGCCCTGCAGGCCACTGGGGGCGACATCCAGGCGGCCCTGGAGCTCATCTTTGCCGGGGGAGCCCCGTGAACCCCATGATGAAGCCCCGGCTCAGCCTGAGCAAGGCCTGAGCAAGAGGCGCTCACAAAGCTCCCTCCCACCTCCCCCAAATACACCTGACTCTCAACTCTCCCACTTTGTCCTGTGCTTGGCAATGCTGGCTGGCGTGAGCTGGTAGAGGTGGGGGGTGGGGGGGCAGGTAGGGTGTGTGCCATCGGAGCAGGGCCGGCCCCTGGGTCTAGGCAGAGAACAGAGGATCCCTGGCATGCTGTGTGGTAGCCATGTTGGCCTTGGGGGCAAGTTTCTACCAGTAGCCCTCCTTCCCTCCAGATGCTGGTGGTTTGGGGGAACCCACCCATGCTGCTGCCATTTTTTTAGGGTGGCTGTTCTGTTGCCAAGAGAGGCTCATGCTTCTGAGATGTCCCCCACTCAGAGTAGCCAGGGGATGTGAGGTCAGGGGTGCTAATCCTGCAGATGACCTCCCTGCTTCCCCAAGCCTTCTGAAAGGGTCTTTGTCTCTATCCTGATCTCCTCTATGCCATGTTCTTCAATGCTTACTAGTGTGTGCGCACGCACATGCGCACACGCCAGTCTTGGGCCTTGAACTCGGCCTGAGCACTGTCCCTGAGCTTTTTCACTCAAAGCTAACACTACCCCTTGAGCCACAGCTCCCCCTTCTAACTTTTTGGTGGCTCCTTAGAGATAGGAGTCTTACAGACTTTCATGCCCAGGCTGGCTTTGAACCATGATCCTCAGATCTCAGCCTCCTGAGTAGCTAGGATTACAGGCGTGAGCCACCAGCACCCGGCTGTTGCTTGCTTATTCTTGTACCAATGCCAGTCATGAGCAGCAGGGCTTTCCCTGTCCAGAAGGTGTCAGTACAAGAGCTGTAGAAGAACCGAACCACAGTGCCAGCAGGACCAGGGCCACCACCTTGCCTCTGGCTGTGCGCTCCGTCCCCTGTACCATGTCCCAGGTTCCTTGGTCTCTCACATGTTTGGGTTCACTTGGGAAAATGAACCTGGGGGGAAAGGCACTTGGGATCCAGTCCAATCCATCCACGCCATCTCCAGTCATGATTGGTTGGCCTCTGCTATCCCCTGGAACAAAAAGCTTACCCTAAACCTACCTCTTACTTATTCATCATCATCATCATCATCATCATTATAATTGGCGTGTGTCAGCCTTGGAGCCTGAACTCAGGGCCTGGGCACTGTCCCTTAGCTTTTCACTCAAGGCTGATGCTCTGCCACTTGTGCCACAGCTATAGTTTTGGCTTTTTGGTGGTTCACTGGAGATGAGATTCTTGTGGACTTTCCTGCCTTGGTTGGCCTTGAACTGTGAAACTCAGATCTCAGCCTACCTGATTAGTTAGGACAACAGACCTTAATCTTTCTGCTCTAAGGAGCCACGCAGAACAGGCCTGTGTTGTGTCGTGTGTGTGTGTGTGTGTGTGTGTGTGTGTGTGTGTGTGTGTGTGTGTGTGTGTGGTGGGTGGGTGTGTGCGCGCGCGCGTGCGCACACAGGCACACAGGAAGGATTTCAGTCAGAGACCAGCAATGATTTGTGAGCCTCTTGGTCTGCCCCGGGTCTGATGGCCCTGTGTCCTTTTTTGTGGATGACCTCCAGTTTATCAGTGCCCTTGAAGAACGCTGTGTGTCAGCTATGATCCAGCAGCCCACCATTCTTCACCCCCTCTGCAGAATTTGCAAAGTCTGCATTTGCTTCTCAGTCCTAGGATTCGCGTGGAAAGCTGTGTATAGTGGCAGAAGAGCTTTCCTGACCTGGGGGCCTCAGTGGTCAATAGCAAAGTCAGGAGGCTCTGTCCACGAACTTAATGCCTCCTGCTCATTGGTAGGAATGCGGGCAGTGGTTTCCTCATGGACCCCAGGTAGCAAGAGAGGGCTGGGACAGCCCTTCCCTTCCTCGTGTGCAGTCTGCCCAGAACTGCTCATGGCTCTGCACCCCCCACCCCTGTTCTCTGACCCATGATGCTATGAAATATTTGGGAAAATATTGCTGAAACCAATTTTTTTTTAATCATGGGGCCTGAACTCTGGGCCTGGGCGCTGTCCCTCAGCAATTCAGCTCAAGGCAAGCGCTCTACCACTTGTGCCACAGCGCCACTTCCGGTTTTCTGGTGGTTCATTGGAGTAGAGTCTCACAGACTTTCCTGCCCAGGCTGGCTTTGAACCTCAATCCTCAGATCTCAGCCTCTTGAGTAGCTAGGATGACAGGCGTGAGTCACTGGTGCCCAGCTCACCTTTTTTCTTTCATGCATGTTTTTACAAATTATTTTTAAAATGATTAGGGACAGAGGGGTGACAGTCAGGTAATGAATACATTTCTTTCTGGACAGTCGCCCCTTCTCTCCCTCTCTCCCAGTGTCTCCCTCCCACAAGTTCATTTGGTTCATTTTCCAGTGTCCAGTGAGCACCACTGCTGCATCAGCTCCCCCTTTGTCCCTCCATTGCTGTGTTTCCTATTACCCTTCCAATGAAACCTACTTCTGATGCCAGTTACGGCTTCTCGGAACTGAGCCGAACCCATAGTTTCCCTCTTTTGTCAGTTCTTTCCTCTGGAGGCTTGGCACATTGGCTTTGCTTCCTGTGGCCGTGGTTGCTTTTTTGTTGTTGTTGTATTTTTTGCTGGTCGTGGAGCTTGAACTCTGGGCCTGGGCGCTGTCCCTGAGCTCTTCAGCTCAAGGCTAGCACTCTGCCACTTGAGCCACAGTGTCACTTCTGGCTTTTTCTGTGTATGTGGTGCTGAGGAATCGAACCCAGGGCCTCATGCCTGCAAGGCAAGCGCTCTACCACTGAGCCATCTTCCCAGCCCCCATGGTTGCTTCCCCGCCCCCCCCCCCTTTTGTGCCTGTACTGGGGCTTGAAATTGGGGCCTGGGCACTGTTTCTGAGCTTTTTTTTTTTTTTTTGGTCCGGTCATGGGGCCTGAACTCTGGGCCTGGGCGCTGTCCCTCAGCTCTTCAGCTCAAGGCTAGCGCTCTACCACTTGAGTCACAGCGCCACTTCCGGCTTTTTTCTTTTTGCTTACGTGGTGCTGAGGAATCGAACCCAGGGCCTCAGGCATTCAAGGCAAGCGCTCTACCACTGAGCCACCTTCCCAGCCCCTGTTTCTGAGCTTTTTTTATTGGTGCTCTACTTGAGGCACACCTCCACTTCCAGCTTTTCTGGTGTTTCATTGGACGTAAGAATCTCATAGACACCTGCCTGGGGTTGGCTTCGAACTGCGATCCTCAAATCTCAGCCTCCTGAGTAGCTAGCACGACAAGCATGAGACACTGATGCCTGGCTCTGTGGCCATATTTGAAACGGTGGATGCTGGGACTCCATGTTGGAGCTTGCGAAAGGTCAAGGGCCTCCCTCCTACCTATGCCCCTTTTAGCCTCTGAATGAACGTGATGGAGCCTTGAGCCAGGTAGATGGGAAGGCATATCCAGCTCTCAGAGCTCCATGGATGGCGAGATAAACATGTGATGAGAACTGGGCGAGGGAAGGCCAGGGGCTGTTTGGGGTGTGGGAGTCGGGGGAGGGCTTCCAGGAAAGGGAACTGGGGAGAAGCCGCTGGGAGAAAGCTGAGATCTGGAGGGTGGAGGAGAATCGGGGCAGAGGTTGTGTGCTGAGTGCAAAGGGAGTCGAGGAGCGATATGGTTCCTGCAGTGACAGGTGCCATGTAAGGAAGTGACACCCACCCTGAAAGCGGTGGGGGGGTGGCAGTGAGGGAGCCAGAATTTCAACCAGGGAAGAGAGCAAATGTGGATTTTAGAGCGATCACTGGATGTGGCGCCGATGGCTCATGCCTGTAATCCCAGCTACTTAAGAGGCTGAGATCTGTGGATTGAGGTTCAAAGTCAGCCCTCAGGCAGGAAAGTCCTTGAGACTCTGATCTCCAATTAAGCACACACACACACACACACACAGTGGCACTGTGGCTCAAGTGGTAGAGCACTAACCTTGAGCAAAAGAAACATTAAGGATCACATCCAGGTCCTGAGTTCAAGCCAGGACAGCATTCCAAGCCCTGAGTTCAAACCCTAGGACCAGCACGCAGGTGCACGTGTGCACGCATGCGCACACATGCATGCACGCGCACACACACACACACACACACACACACACACACGCTGCCAGCATACCCCTGGAATAGCTGCAGTGGGGACGTGATTTGTGTGTGAGATACAAGCTGGCAGCTGTGTAGAGGCTGAGTCAGTGGGATGTGAGGCAGGGTGGGCGACCACTTAGAAGGTTCGCCGTCTCCAGATGGCGGGGACCTCCGGAGCTGCAGCAGCGGGGGGGGGGGGACTGGAAGGAGGGGTAGGGAGAGAGTGAGAAGTGTGAAGCAGGATGGACCCAGTTCTGGGGGTGGGGGAGAGGGGAGGAGGCAGGCTGTGAGCAGGGAGAGGGTGCTGAGTGGGGAGATTGGGGACCTAGGACCTGTTTTGGACACTTGGTACCTGGGGTGTTAGGAGACAGCCAGGCTGGATGGCTTCCAGTCAGGTGAGTGTCCTTGGGTGGAGATAGTGCTCAGGAAGTTTTATGTTCAAGGCTGGTCCTATTTCCTTGGCTAAGGTAATTCTAGCTCTTCAGGGAAATGGAGGAAAGAAGATGCCCACTAAGGAGTTAGACTATAAGAAAGCATGACTGTTAGAGAGGAGAGAGAGAGAGGGAGGGAAGGTCTGTTTCTGGAAACACACACACATCGATGTCATCAAAGTAGAGGGATAGAAGGATCTGGAAAAGAGGGTGAGGTCAGTGGCAGCTACTACAGATGAATCCAGTAAGGAAAGGGCTGGTTTTGACCTTGATGGATACAGCTGTGACCTTGGAGACAGGACGCCTTGGAGCCAGAGGTCAAAAGTCTGACTACCAGGCAGGCAGGGGGAGGGTGGGGTGGGCAGAAAACCCTGAGATGCTTGTTGACCTGGGAGAAAGCGGCAGTTTGAGGGGGCAAACAGGATGTGAGAGTGTCTGAAGTTCAGCAGAGGTGAACTTGGAATGGATCACGAGAATTTGTCTAGGAAGCTCAAGGGGAGGGGAAAAAAAAAAAAGGAAGAGAGACCCCAAAATAGAATATGCAAATATGCAGAGATGGGCGAGCTTTCAGAACAGATCCTTT